CCATAGGTTTGTCAAATCTCTTTTTGAACCCATTATACTACTGGTCTCCATAGCATCCTGTGGTAACGAGTTCCATATTTTAATTATGCACGATATAAAAAGAGTATTTTCTGATGTTTGTCCCAAACACTTGCTACGTAATAATTTCTTTGGACATCTCTTAACGTCTTGTATTATGAGGCAGTAAAAACAGTTCCCTAACGGTTGTAACAGCTCAAAATATTCAGGTCATAAACAAAGGTCCCTCTTCCCCTTCAAAGATTATGGAAGCATCTATTATCCATTAGGTCATACCTGTAAACATTTCATATATAGGCCCGAGTCTTCATAAAGAAATTATGGAGCTATTCTATTACATAATTTTGGCCAGGTACAGAAGGTATGCTGTAATACAGAAACTACTGGTTCTACTGCTTCCATAAACTTATTTTTAGTCCTTACCAAATAGATATAAAATAGAATCTATTTTATATCCATAGCACTGGATTTTATAAAGTAGACAGTTTTATATCCATTTATATCCAGAGCACTGGATTTTACACCTGGTTTTTATGATTCTACTGGAGGAAATGCTGCTAGAAAGAATATCTGACTTTGATCACATCAGTATTATCCTGGTGCAGGGCTCACTGTGCAAGAAACTGACCAAGAAGGATAACAAGAAAAATACAAAATCATTTCCAGTCATGCCATCCAATCTAAAAAGGCTTCACTAAGGTTTATTTCTATAAAACATGGGTGTCAATCATAAGGCCTGTGAAACCTCTTTATCTGGTCTGTTGGACTACCAACAGGCACCAGAAGTTGAGGCACGGTTGCCTCAGAATTCAGGACCTTTTAGCCCCACTGGGTATTGTCACTGGGGGTGAGCTTGGTCCACCAGTGCTATCCCAGACATGTTCCTCCAGACCTCTTGCTGCTTGACCCTTTGCTGCTGCCTGACATGTTACTGCTACTGTCACAGTGGCTATTGTGGCAGCCTTCGTGTCCCAGATTCATTATGCCCACAAGAAGCTCTGCAGTCGAGACCTGGCCCAGGGCCCTTGGTGAGTTTGTCACCGTTGCTTTAAAATGTTCCATGTGTGAAAATGTAATATGAAATCAAAAAGCTGGGAGAGCCACATAGTCAGTTTAATTACATATATCAAGATAGGATACTTAGATCTAATACTTAGATTTCTTGTCATATCCAGAACTCCAAGGAAATGGAGTATCTCTTAATGCAGCTTTCATCTTCCTTTCTTGATCTATACTATTAGATCATATTTCTGTCTGGAATCATCATTAAAAAAATGAATATGCTAGGCATTATATTGCACAACTGCCCATTTCATATCAATGGAAATTTGGAAGGATTTTTCAGGTAAGTTTAAATACTACTTTGTAAACTTTTTTTTACCTGCATATTTTGTTCCTATGAATTATTCTATAGTCATCAAAGGCAGTGGTAAAAATGATGACAGTTCATTGCTTGAAGGCAACTTCAAAGAGAAGTACGCACTACGATTGGGTGTCTACAGAATTTTTACCAAGTAATAAAAACCCTTCTGGGTATAAACTATGGAAGTTAGGAAGACTCAGGGTCAATGTTTTTTGATGGGTTACATTGTTTTTCTAGCATTTTTAACTGAGGCAATCAATTAATTGGGCAAGAGGCTAGAAAACCTGACTGCCAGGCCCTCATAGTTCCAGCTGCTTCATGAAAGAACTTTAAACATAAGAGGTCAGTGACTCAGCTCCTGGACTACTGCAGACGACAGACTGCAAACACAGTAGACCTGTCACACAGGCATCTCAATTTTTTCCATTCCCATGAACCAAGCTGCACCTTAACTAGTTTTTCTATTGAAAGCCCTCCTCTCCCTTGCTGAGACAGCATGGTGGATTGATACTGCCAGCTCTATTCCCTTGCACCATGTCTTGACACAGCTGTCATGCCTCCCTTTCTCTATTCCTTTCTCTCTGGAGTCTCTCTCTCCTTGACTCCTTATCTTTCCTATTCTTTACCTTCCTTTGCTGACACTTCTTCTACCCTCTCTCATTCCTCTGACACCACTCTCTGATCCTTCACCTACTAGCTGGAATAGTCAGAGTAGCAGAGAAGAGCAGCCAAAATGTATGTCTGCACCCCCCGCTCTTCAGATACATCAGGTGTAGAAAGTGGAGGTCGTTTTTAAGGCAACACTGAGCAATTATTTCAGCTGAAGGGCCGCTTAATGAGATTTGGGGGTCACAATGGTAGCCCCACCCTTTGACAGGTGTCCCGCTCCCTGGTCACCATCTTGGAACCAGAAGTCCAGCCCCTAGCCCCTGATCTTTGCCACTGAGAGTCCCTCCCCTTGCCCTGGAAGCATAGCTTAGAACCGGAAAAAAATAAATCATACTAAAAACCAAACAGCTACTATAACATTCTAATTTCAAAAAATATTTTTGTCCTGATTTACATGTGTTTGCATAACATATATAGAGGCAATTGCATAATAGCTCAAAATAAAGTCTTACTCTTGTATATGTGTGGGGGTATAGGTGTGTGTGAATAGGTGTGGAGGGTGTGTGGGGTTCCTGCACGATGGAGCCAGAAGCTTGGGCCTGCTCCCTGCTACCACATGCAGCTCCCAGAGCTTGGCTGGGGTGGCATGAAGAGGGATCAAACTGGCCTGGTTCCATCATGCAGAGTTCCCTGCCACTACCAGAGGAGTCCTGGGAGTTGTACATGGCATCAGGGAGCAGGGAAAGTTGCCTTTCTCCATCACACAGGGCTCCCTGCAGCAGTGCATGGCTCCAGCTGTGTCCTGGGAGCTGCACATGAACCGCAGGGAGCCCAGTGCAAAGGAACTGGGCTGGACCTGCACTCCCACTGACCCAGGCTCCATGTGCCTACCACCCTACCCAGTGTGGGCCCCACGCTCTTGGCTCTGCATTTCCACTAGCCCCACCCCATGCTCCAGGCTCCCCCCGCCTGCTGCCACTTCCCTATCTGTTGCCCAAAGTGCTGCAGCAGTAACAGGAGGAGGAGCTGAGTAGTTGCTTGGGCAGCTGCAACTGTGGCAGCAACAGTCCCACCTGGAAGCTGTGTGCACTGCCTGGGGCTGGGGCTGGAGCCCTCCCATGGGTGAAGGCGGGAGCACAGTGTGCTGGCCCAGCAGGAGTGGGCAGGGCTCGGCCCCATGTGGAGTACAGCAGGGGCAGCTGCAGGCCAGGCCAGATACATTTATTTGGTGGGCTGGATCCAGCCCGAGGGGCTGTATTTTGCCCACCCCCATTTTAAGGAGTTACAGAATAGCATGTTTGTGGTGTTTTTGGGGGGTAACAGTAGATTTGGGGTCTTGAAGATCTTATTATGAAAACTGAACCTCCCTTTTAACACACCACTCTAAACCTATGTGGCACTCCTTGTGTGGCCTGCCTCTCTACAATGAGCAAAGCAGCTTCAGAAAAGTAGGAAAACTATCATTATTTTCTTGCTTCAGGGTATTCCAATTGCTGCAAAGCCCATACAGGAATCTTCCCTTCCATGGACAGCACTGCACAGCTGCTTTGGTGCATTATGTTTTATTTGGTTTCCGTCTCCTGAAACATAAGTTATTGTGCACTACCGGAAGAAAGATGCTAGACTTGATGAATCAGTTGTCTGATCTGATATGGCAAGTCCTCTGTTCCTAACAAAAAGACATAGTTTATGCTTTGCTGTAATGTTCCTCTTAACTGCATTTTAGTGTTTGCAGTCCCTTAGAAACAACTGACTGCTGACAATACAGGTGTAAGGACTTTACTACATCTCCTATATTTCAGAAACATGATCCATCCTCACCGCCACTAGAGGATTTCCCTGCTCAATCATTATCTATGTGAATATACAGAACACGTGTTGGTATATGGACCTGAATTTTAGGAAAAAAATTCTAGTTTGCCTGTCAACTATAAAACATGCGCAGATGGTCACAACTCCTTACAAATGTGAAGAAGGCAAAGGATTGAGGAAAGGATACCAAGAGTACCTGCAAAAGGCAGTATGGGATGACCAATATTATACCTTGACAGTGCATTCTTCATTCCAAATGATTCTAAAATACCCCAAGATGCATATGCATGTGTGCACACAGAACAATGAAATGGAGGTGACTCTGGATGAATGTTAAGCATCAAGTGGCACAAGCAACCTACTATGTAGCATTATTAAAAAATGACAAAGACAAGATGATTGTACTACTTTAAAAATAAAACAAAACAAAAAACTAATGTATCTTTAATGTCCATGCAGACAAGACAAGGCCTTAGTGTTAAAAGGTTTTTTTATGGTTTGGTAAATGGCAAGGAATTCAACCTATTTATGTCCCTAAAAAGAAGAGGGACTGATTCAACCATAGTGCAGCTAGAACCACCAACTCCAAGGAAATTATTTTATTTCACATCAAGGTTTTAAACAACCAAGCCATCCCCTCCTGTTGCACATTACAATACATGTGTTTTTCAATTAATCTCTCTTCCGAAGCCATACTATTCTTGCAAATCTTATAACATGTAAGTAACAAAGCAATGGTGAAAAGTTAGTTTCCCTTTAACCAGGAGGCATTCAAAGATATCAAACAATTTGAGAGGGCAATCGTATATTTGCCTTTGGATATGCTCTACGTCTATCTAGAAAGACATGTGAAAAAACTACAGAACACTACAAAACTGCATTACAAATTAAACAAAGATAAATATTTTGAATGAAGCAAACCCTGGTTTTTATACATACATGAGTACACTACAACCAGGAAGCCTCTTGAGATAGAGCACAAGATAATACTCTGAACCTCATGCACCATTGTGTTACTTCAGTTTTATGCTGGATTACATTGATTGCAATGGAGTTGTACTGGCACACAAGGCAATGGTATATCAGATTCCTTGTGTAAAACTGAGAATTAAGAGATCTGGTCACAGATGTGATCTTATGACTAGAGACACCAAACTGTTTTAGAGAAGGGGTGGAGCATGCAAGTAACAGGACTTACCTAAAGCTCTCTGGGTACTCAGTGAGAGCCATGTTGATGATATCCAGTGCGTGATGATACTGCTTTTGGGCTGAAAAAAGGAGGGCCAACAGATGAAGCAAATTTATATCATCTTTGCACAGTTTCAGTGCTTCTTGGAGGTGCTCTATTGCATCAGAAATCTGAAAAAAAATAAGAAACATTTTCCCACCAATCACATATCTGACCTCTTCCCCAAAGCTATGAGCACATATAGCTGTTGGAAATCTTTACATCTTATTGGGAACATTGTAGAAAAACAGACTTTTGTAAGCACTTTAACAACCAGCCCAAGCTAACAGGCTGCATAGCCAGTGAAGCACAATTAAAAATCTTGAAGATGAAGAGTTTTTATACCACTATAAAGCAGCTGGCATGCAACTACTACTACAAGGTATCAGAAGGGGTAGGAGACATAGCCCAATACTCCCCCTGTTTTAGCACTGTGGTTGGGTGCTGTGTACAGCCCTTTTAGTTATGCCATAAACATATGAAATTCCCATTTCCATTATGTAGCTTAGGGAACTGTGACAGTTTCTTTGCTCCGTGTCAACATAAACATTTCTGTTGCACTTTGCCTCTTATGACAGCTACACAATGCCCTTCACCATTTAGCCCAAGACGAGAGAAGTAGATTATGAAAGTCCAAGGGTTAAATATGCTTAAGGTTCAGAATGCCGTCAGGAAAGAGAAATATTCATTATCTGCTCAGTAAAATACAGTCCTGACATCCACCACAACAGAATGTCATTAGAATCGCATCCTATATGGTGGAAAGCTTAACAAGTCTCACATGTGCAAACATGCCATGAAATCTATGTGGTCATATATCTTATCTTTACTTTGCTCAGAAAAAGGAATGTCTGAACTCCATGTTTGTCCTTTGATCACTTGTAAGTTTTGTGGGGGAACTTTGTCACCACATAGATGTTGGGCACTGACCATTTCGAGCAAACATGCCTCTCTATGGAGGTGAATAGGTGAAAGAGACAAGGGGAAAGAGCAGTGAACCCAACATCACTTCCCTTGCAGGCCACGGTATTTGTCCATTTACATGCGCAGGGCTAGATTGTGCCAGTTAGGCATGTTCCAGAGTAGAAAGTGGTGTCAAGCCACAGCACCCCTATGCTTAGTAAAGTGTTGCACCTCAAGATGATACACTCCCAGCCAGGTATGAGGTGCTGCAGCTAATTTACCCCAGGTGCATGCAATCTGCTCTAAGCAAGGCTCTTCTTCCTCTTGCCTACACTGGAGAAGGACAGTGGGAGCACTCCTTTATGAATATATGGAGAAAACCTCCTTCCTGCAAAATCTATGGACTACCCACCCCTAAAGAATTGCAAACTAAACTCCCTCACTCCCCTTTGTACTGCTGTAAAAAAAAATCCAGTGCAGGGACCACAGACAGGAGAGCTTTTGTTGCACTACATCAACAGTTATAAACAACACTGCAGGTATGATTGAGGCATACCAATTAACCCAGTCAAAACAGTGCCATAACCCAGGCTTTACTATATCTTTCTCAAGGTTGATCATTCAGACACTGACACTTTTCCTGTTTACTTCCTCCAAAACTAAAAATGTCCACATTGCCAAGTTGGGGGCGAAAGGAATTAATTAGAAAAATCCAGGAACTCCTCTCCCTGCCCTGAGATTCCAGAGAGCCTTGAATGTCAGTACAGATAAATTTAAAGGGGGCAATTTGCACCTACCCTCTATTAATGTCACCACAACATTTAAGAATGCATTACATCTGTGGGCACAAATTTGATTCGTGAATCAGTCTGCTTAAGTTTTATGAAGGCAAACTGCTATCCCTACAATTCTGGCATATGATTTAATGGAGGCTGATTGGCACTTTGCCCTAAAAAAGGAAATCAGAAACTCTCCGTATAGCTTTGGCTGCAATGAGGTACCCTGAAGTCAGTCCCAGTCACCTTTTCAGACTCTCAGGCTGATTTTCCTGTGATGCCAAAAAAACATAACCTAAAACTTATTTTTCACTCATCTGTAGATTAGGCCTTTCCTTTCAGTGGTTACATGTCTGGTGACTAACTTTTCCCCTTAGCGCTATCTGATCAAAGACCTAGAAGCACAGCTATATTACTTGTTAGATTTCTCCTTACTCAAAATTTAGTTTTAATCCCAGGTTCTCATCTAATACAGTAGATTAGAAACACACTCTATAGAGAAAAAAATATAATTGCATTTATTTGAGCAGGTAAAGAAGCTACCTTTCATCTGTTTAAGCTAATGTCTCTAATTAACAACTATTTTTCCTTCCAACAAAAATCTAGCACTTTAATTAGAAGATAGTCTTGGTCTTTGAGTTGCAAGCAATGGTTTGATTTTGAATATCAGTCATGCTTGCCTGCCACATGATTGTTTAACTAAAGCCAGAAAGTTTTTCAGCACTGTAACAATATTACTAGCCCACACAGAGTCCTCCCACTACTACAGAATTAGAAACAGTGGACAAACACAGCTAAGAAAAAGAGCATGCAACAGCATCAACATGCTCTGTTTCTTTGCTGCAAGCCTTAAACAGGTCAACCTGGAATAAGCCAAACTTCTCAGCGAAGTTGTGAGGCAAATTTCCAGAACAATAAACCACGTTTGGCAGGAGTCAAAGCAAACTTCTTTGGAAAGGCAGAGACCAGCTCTCTATTGACAGATGCCACAGCTTATTAATTTAAGTAGCTATGTAACATGAGAAACATGGAAGCTGGCAGCCCAGATGGTGTTCTGAAACCTCAGGGCTGTATCATACGTATGTTGCCAGCTTAAATTCCCTGCCAATGCTGAGCTTAACAGCAATTCTATCTCAGCTGGACCACGAATCCTAGTGGGGCCTACAACAGGAAGATGCTACTTTCACCCAATTCATCATTCAGTTAATAAACCAGAAACATTTTGCAGAGAGAACATGTGCATACTTTTATTCATGTTGTAATGACTTAGCTTCAAAGATATTGCTATAAAACACAAATGGAGCCTCTCAACACTGCCAAAATAGTACTGTGAACAGGGATATGCAGAATGCAGCCTCTTAATTTGACACTACTATGCATTTGTTTAACAAACAATGCTGAGAGTTATCCTTACCTTCCTATTTATATGCACAGAGTATGAAGATTTAAAAAGCATTTTGCAATAGCCAAATACATTTGTATACTTACATTGGTTCAGCAACAAAATTACAAATTTTCAAATGCAGTGAGAACCAGACTTCAAGCTTCTGAAGCTACATTGATTATAATTGGCTGACCAGCCCCAGTCTGGCTAACTTTGATATCAGCTGTGAATTAGAGATGATTAACTACAAATATTTGGCAAGACATCCATATTTTTAGTATTTGTAGGATGGGACGTTAAAGAAAGGAGGAATTTATGGCAGAATCTCCAAAGAGAAAAAAAGAGGCCTGGTCCAAAATAAAGCCTTTAAGGAAGAAAAGATTGAAACGTTTATCACTTGGGCACATACTGAACTCTTAATGAAAAGGAAGCTAGCAGACTTGCATGGACTGGAACTTCTATCATTCCCAAAACTATAGGTCAGGACCTAAAACTGATTCTCAACCAGCATGCTATAGCAATGAGATGCTTTTAAGAGTGCCATGGGGTACCATGCAATGTTAGCACTGTTGTGTGTACAAATATCTACACTTGATTCACAGGATAAACCCAGAGATTTAAAATAGGAACCCAGTGTCAAAAAACATTCTGACTTCTTATGAGCCTTCTGAGTTCTTTGCAAAAGAAAAAAAAACACCTTTTTTTCTTTTTAAATATGGAAAATAATCGAGTGAAAGCTTAGCACTCGTATTTTTGAGGGGTACCTTGAGTCTAACAAGGCTGAGAACCACTGACCTAGAAAGACCTAACAGGGTACAACGTAAGCAGTGCTACTCAGAAAGAGTGAATGAGTGCAAGAGAGAAGATGACTATGAGTGTCTACACCAGCGGTTCCCAACCTCGGTTCGTGACCCAAATGAGGGTTGCAGGGGCAATACTGGCGGCGCCGCACACAAAGGATGAGCCACGCCACGTTCCAGGAGCTCCTCTGGCCCCAGGTCGCTCCACCCCACTCCCAGCAGCAGGTTGTGGCAAAAAAAGGTTGGGAATCACTGATCTATACCCAACAGTCTCAACATCAAGTTTCTCCCCCGACATACACATACACAAAACTGAGTTCTGATCTCTTCTTTACCACCACATACAAAATAAGATTTATGAGTCAACCGACCCACCTTGAAACCATATGCTCAAAAGGAACAACAGGGTGTGAGAGGAATAACTGATAGATACATTCCAAACCTTTTATTACTATTATTATTAATTTCCCTCACTGCTGAAGTACATGCACCCTTCATGCCTGTAGATGCTTTTTGAAAATTGCCACTTGAAACGTCAGGTCTCTGCTGGCAGCCCACAGATGAAACTGATAAGTGAGAACTAATTCTCAGCTGCTGGCCCCTGGCTGCCTTTCCACCCCTGTTTTCCTGGGGAGGAAGGTCAAATCAAATCAAAAAGACATCAGTACAAGTTTTAAAATGACTTGAAAACCTTACATGTTCTTTTTATGGATCTGACATTGATTTACACGGTATTCAGGGCCAAAAAAGGAACCAGCACCTACAATTAACAAGAGTTCTGACTCCTTCAAGTCATTTCCATGGAAACAAGCTGGCAAAAACAAGAAAGACTTTTAAAAACTGCCTCCTTTTCAAAAACTCACTCTAAAAAACTCACTCTACCTTGTTTTTGCAGATCCCAACTCTATTATCACAGAAATGGAAAAGAGGCAGAACTAGCACCCTGGACTTGAGACTTGGAAGTCTCATTTTTTAACTTATTTGGCTGACTGTCAACTGAGCCCTGCAGATGTTAGTAACCCCAGAGGCCAACACTGCTCTTCTCCTGCTAGCACTTCAAGACTAGGAAAAAAATAAAATAAGACTCTCCTTATGGATGAGGACATATTTGAATTCACGTGTATTTACTCAGAAGCGTGTTGCAGAAAGTGCTTTAATGGCCCAACCCAAAGCCTATCTGAATTCAAAGCAGTCTTCCCATTGATTTCAGTGGTCTTTGAATCAATCTCTGAAAGGCAGTGCCTTCAAATATACATGTCAAGTGTAACACCATCATTGACACTGATAGTTGAAGATTGACCCTTTCACCTGAGGGATCTTTTATAACCAGGTCCTTACATTGCATCCTTGCTTAGGTAACAGAGTAAACTTCAGGGTTTTCTGTTTCCTTTCCCCCTTCTCCTGTATTTACCAGACTTATTTTAAGCAAGTAATAGAAAAATGACTGCTAGAAATATTCTATAGAGTCTTTTCAGGGTAGGTAGTTTTTTCAGCATCATTAATTCAGTCTACTTGTGGAACTGAAAAAGCAGAACATTGCCATCTACTTCAGGAAGTTTTATGTCCATATTATTCAGCTTTTTCTAAGGCACCTTATTAAGTGATCTTGATAATGAAAACAAGGTTTATTTATAAGAAAAGGTAAGATGTAATAGGCAAATGCATAAAACTGCACTTTTAATGTCTTAGCAGCATGATGCAGCCTGATGAAACCTTGAATTGTGACATTCAACAGTTAATACAATCTGTCAAATGCCGAGAGAGAGAAGAGAGAATAATTTATCTTTCAGTTAATCAGAAAAAGTGTATGTTAGATACTTTAAATAATTAAGGATATTAAAAATGCATTGCCAAATGCTTATCGTTAACCATACTGGCAAAAGAAGAACAGGATATTTTACAGTGGTCTAAAAATAAAGATGTCTCAGGTATCTCTGATCACTCCAAGCATGCGTTAAAGATTTATTTCTCAGTAGATGGAGAAGAGGAGCAGCAGGGCGGTAGGGGCCAAATTGACACAACATAATATACAGGGTTCACACCTACAGGGAGCAGGGGCAAGAGGCAGAATGTCAAGGACAAATCTGCAGGTGCAGCAGGAGACACAAAAGAGAGCAAGGGGGATGGAACAGACAGAACAAGTGGAAAAGGAGGACAAAATGCAACGTATGAAATCTCACCGCTAAGAAAGACTAGAACCTTAGAAATAGACACGGAGGATGAATCAAAGCTTGTTGTTTCAGTAAGGGGGAGGCAGGACAAATGATGACCAGAAAACCTCAGTTTTATTCTTTTTGAGGTCAGACATGAAAAATGTATCTATAAAAATATCCTTTTAGTATTTTATCTCCTCAAAGGGACTAAGAAACCAGCAAATCAGACTGTCAGAGTATATAGGCATAGAAAATAGAGTAGTTAGATATTTTTTTCATTAAAGGCCCTAAGAAAACTGTATTGTGAGGTACACAGCAGGCTGATGACAAAGTTCAATAAGCTGTTTTAATTATCTATCCTGATGCATTAGTCCTCACAGAACACTGCTCTTATTATGAAAGGGTTGCAAAAAAGTGACATTAGTAAGAGTGTGCTCTCTTGGAACAATTAGTTTAACCTAATGAACAAATAGCTCACCTAATTAGCTCAGGAAAGTAAGAAGCATCTGTTTCACTCTGTAGTCAAAGACTAGAGTAGAGAGAAATCTGCAGTGAACAGAAAGCCTGCCAAGGAAGGAAAATAAGCTGATGAAATTGCAAATCTAGTTAAAAGGGCTTCTAATAAAGTTCAGCTTTTTTGACAAAGGTCATCTGCTTTTAACAGAAAAGGCAAATCTTCTTAAACACAGCAAAGCACACTGTTAAAAACAGTCTGATTTTTTTTACCTAAGACCTGCAGTAACATCTGAGTACCAAATAATCCTACCAAGGGCCACAGAAATCATAGTGGAAGGTACTCAAGCATGGAATAAGCAACTCCTTAATACATATAACTTGAGAACTTTAAGAGATCAAGAATTTTAAAAGTAACAAAAGAGACTTTTGGAAGAGACTGAGACCAGGAACAGGGCCTGGTTAAAAAATAACAAACATCTCAAGTTTGGCCTTTGCCCTTCCCGTGCACAGTTGCTTAGAGCAGGGAGTGCAGGGGACAGACGGAGATGAATCACTGGATAAATGCTTTTGGAAAGATTTGACAACCAGGGTCATAGGACTAGACTGAACCCCAGGCTAGGGAGTTCTTGCTTATTCATTCTTTTATTAAGGTGGATTTGAGTTAATGCTATTGGCCCTCCCTCCCTCCTTCTCTCCCCGCTTTCAGGAATAGTCATTGCTGAGTGTGACCAGGATTGGTTTTATTCTGCTGAGTCATTCCACTAGCTCCTAGCCACTTGGTGACTGACAGAATTGAAATTACCAGTCATGGCACATACCTGTCTGACGAGAGCCAGCTGCAATGAGACGTAAAGGATGATTTGGTGGTCTTCAGGGGCCAGGTGATGTGCTCTTTAAGGACAACCAAACAAGAAAAAAAGGAAAGTGAAAAATCAGATTGTGCTTTTCATTCTCTCTTCTACCAGAAAGAAGCCACAAATTATGCATAAATTTTAGAAAGCATATTTCAAGAGGAATTCTACAAGTGCAGAGCATATGAATGCTCTGGTGGCTGAGCCAAGCTCATGAAACGAGCAAGCCGGAACTGCTATAAAATCTAGATGCTTGGCATTTTTATACAGCCAGATGCGAAGCATCTCCCATTTATTAAAAAAAAAACAAAACATGCTGACAATCTGCAAGAGATGATTTATCGCAGGATGTTTAGATACCTGACTATGACGGAGAAGAGGGAAGAGAGTGCAAATCATTTGCTCTCCATTCATGACCCACATACCTTTATGACATTGTTTTAAGCAATTCAGCCTGAATAAAAGCCTCAGACTAACTACCTTCTATTATTTCACCCAAGGCACAGCAGCAGTACCCTAATATCTGAATAAAGGCTCTGATACAGGAAAGGGGTTGCCTAAATAAAATGAAAATTTCTCCTCTTAGTGTTGTTGTTCTTGCCAGTTGGATTCCATGAGCAAATAGCAGTCTGAAAATCAGCACCCCTGCTCCCCAGTACCAGGCAGAATGCAAAATACATGGATATTATCAGCCTGGAAGAGCTTTCAATTCAACTAGTCAAGATAGACTGAAGTTGGGAGTGAAGTTGGACACAGAAAGAGAGCAAGTGACATGCCCAAAAACACGCTCAGGTTAACGGCTGAGCCAAGAACAGAACCAAAGTCTCCCAATACCCAGCTCAGTGCCTTACTCCTGCTAGGCTCTGTTGCTACTTCTCCAGCAGTGCATATAATAGATGGCCCTCTACAGAGCTACATGGAATAAGAATTTGTACTATCCTGAATACAAAGCTTCACTGCTGACACAGCTCAGTCTCCACATTTGTAAGGCTTTACTTTTTGTTTTATTTAGGAATGGGCAGAGACTTCTAAACAGGCTCTCTTTATAACCACTGCCCCAGCCCTACAAAAGGCAAGTGTTAGGAAACATACAATAAATGTGTTTCACCCAATCCTGATCCATGGGTTTCCTTACAGGATTTTGGAAGGGTCTCTCAGATAACACTCTAAAATCTATTACCGACTCCATGCTGGCTGACAAACTCAACCTCCTCTCCCAGGTCTCTTTTACAACAATGCCCTTACCACAAGAGGAAAGGCTGATCATACTAAATAGATATTTTCTAACTTTTTGGGGCTTTATTCCAAAGAAGAGGGAAGTCTGCACCTGTGCTACCCTGCCCAGAGGCAAGTGCAGTTGAAGAGTTTATGAGGGAGAAATAAAAGACTGACAAGCCTGATGGCTAAGCACTGCCAAACTATTCATTCACTAATAAAAAGATTTAAGAGTTGCTGCAGGAAACACAAACCACACACTATGTCAATGGCAGTTACCACACAACTATAATCTTAGCCTGAGCTAAACTCTATTGAGCTGATGATTATAATGAATTGCTCCAAGACCGGCAAGTTTAATTTGGACGGAGTATGCCCTTTATCTCTGCTGGTTTAGAACTGGCCTATAAACTCTTGGCTAGCATGATCCATACCAGTTCCAGGGATTAAGACATGACACTGGATACATTATACTGCAACGTGTCACAGAGAGCTCAATTGATTTATTTATTTATTACACATAAACCTGAATGCAAGCCTGTTCTATCTAGGTCACTGGAAGAGAAGGAACTGTTCTTTTTAAAGTCCTTCATATAAAGTCTGCAACAGCTCCTCTAACAATAGGCTAAAGGGCTAAAAAGAAAGGAAGTCATCTCAATGTATGGGGAACAATGATTAACAATGGTTTGGGAAAGAAAAAGAGCTGCTACTTTGTTTCTCATCTTTAAATGGTATTAAAACAACAACAACAACAAAAACAAGCTGGTGAAACAAGGCTTCTGGCCAAGAGATTCATGTTTAAGGATGGCCACAGGCTCCTACACTCTGGGTTGGCAGAGTCTGCGCGTACTTTGGAACTGAAAAACATGCAACCACTAATACAGCACTATCTGGCCAACTTGCAGCACCCCTTGTCGGCTGTACTATGGATATGTCTATGGATATGATTGGCTACAGGGTTGTCTGCTTCCTAGCTAGAGTTAAGATAACATGAAAATAAGTCACTGCCAGTGGGAAAGGTCAAAGGATAAAAATAAATACGGTTAAAAAAGCAACGCAGCACAGCAATTACATCTAAATAGCACAGTACCGGAGATACTACATAGGAGTCAAGAACACGTGTTAGTTAAAGTGACAGATCTACTACTCTGAAAAGTGCCGAAATGTACCTTGTTACCCTTCAGAGCAACATGAATAAGGATCTGGAGACAAGTCTGCTGACTTTAGTGACAAAAATAAGTTTTTACTGCCATATACTCCTATTACCATTGCAGAGCCAACAGAGCTGAGAGCGAGCGTGCTAGATTCTGCTCCGTCTTGTGTGACACCAACAGAATTGTTAACTAAGCTCCAGTTACAGGATCAATCAGTTACATCTGTGCAGTCTCAGAATACAACAGAGCTGTCTTAGGTGTTACGGAGGACAGAATTTGACCTCCAGAATTTTTGTTACTGGTGCCAATATGTGAGAAGACAAGAAACAAGTCTGAGACAGATCCCACATTGAGCTTAGGTATCTTGATGACCATCACCTTAACATGGCTAAGATAGCTAGAGTTTGATGCAAATAGTTAAAGAAAAATACCATCATTTTCCTTACACTTACTGAGATGTGCTGAACTTGGGACCTTGCAAGGTCCTTCTTGTTACCTAAACTGAAAATTAAAATCTTCAAAACTCCCACTCACTGCCACGCATTCCTCAAGGCACTGAAATCTACAGCCATCTAAGCTTAAGAAATTAAAATTTGCCAAGGCACCTAAAAGTTCTGCTTCTGGGCAGTCCAGAAGCATCTCAGTCTTAATAGTGCTGAGTAGCTCAGCATCTGTCACCTAAACCCCATCAGGATTCATAAACTATACTTTCTTCCATCTGTTTTGGCTGGGGAGCTCAATATAGCAGACATTGTTGGAGCATGACTAGTGGACTCAACTCGATACAAACTGCTGGAACAGCTACTTCTTTCAAACCACAGTGAAGGGAAGTGCAGTACTATCACCACCATGCTTTTATACCACCTGTTTGTGCAGGGGCTGGAACTCTGGTATCCTCTCTCTTAAGGAAACACCCTAATCACTAAGTTATGTTTGCTCCATGTTCCTCTCTGGCCAACTGAATCTTCAATTCCTTTTATGCAAAAGTGAAACTACGTCAAAGTTGATAATTTTTCCTCCTACCTCGGAACAGCAAACAGCCTGGTAGTTAAGGAACTGTCCTGGAGAGGATTATGGAATTTTAAGCTGTGAATCTGAAGCCAAGGGAGGCATACAGAATAAAGCACCTAAGTATCAAAGAGGACTGTTGTTTAAGAAATATCCAGGTCTTCATTGTTTTCTATTGAATGGGCTCCCAATTAAGCATGCTGACTGTTTTGGATCCTATACTGAGGATCCAGAAAGCAATTTTTAGGGAGCCTCTTGCCTAACTCAGAGGTTGTAGATTCCTTTATGGGAGCCAGATGCCCAAAGTCTCTTGGTGGATCTTGGGCATAATCCTCATGTTTGGCTTATTTTTAAGTTGTAAGTAGCTGTAAGCATCTAAAGGACTCTTCTCAAGGAGTTGGCTTTTGACATTCACCGAATGATCCACTATATTCTTGCAATCAGTGGACTGGTTTAGAAGAATGACTGTCAGCATCTAAAAACCTTGTTAAACAGTAAGACACTGAAGCATGTTGCAGAGAATGAAATCGTTTTTAAAGGGAATTATTTTGGCTTCATATAAAAAGGGACACAAATATCAGTCAGGTTCTCACCTCTCCAAAGTCTGAAGTGCTTTCTTGTGTAATTCATCTTGATTGCACTTCAGGGTAGCTGCAGGATAAGACACAAAGTTACTGAACCATTGAACAGAGAATGCTTACAGTACATTCTAAAACACATAGCACAAAGCAACAGAAGCATATCAGCACCTGTATACATGGCTGTGAAAAGGCCAGTAATGTTTTTAGACAGGCATAGAAAAAAAAAGAAATCTTTTTGTTATAACTAGGTCTACCTCCCATTACAAATATCTGGAATGCGAGCCTGAAATGTTCGCATTAAATGTGCTGTACATAATGGAGACTTTTTTAAAACTAGAAACATGGGACAGAAACCAAATCCCAACAGACAGAACACTGTGACCAGGTCCTCAGCCAATATGGCATTCCTTCTGAAACTACTGCAGCTCATTAAGCTGCTCTATGTTATGATATGTTAAATGTGGTTTATGGCCCCTAGTTGCTGCCTTTCCTTCCTTGCGGTTCTCTAAACTGTGTCAGGTGTTAGCTCTGAGCACCTAAGAGCTGGCACATTAGGTTCCATCTTCATTCTGTAATAAATTCAAAGCAAATAAAAATAAAAACAATGAGAACATTGAGGATCTTTGGGACCCAGTAGGAAACAAAGCTATAAAGGTGTGCATGTGTGCAAGGGCTGGCAAATGGATGAAGTAACAAGGAATCAGGGTGAAAGACAGATGCAACAATTGTATCACTAGCATAGGATATCAATACCTATGTCTGCATGATTCTGGCAAAAGGTAGCAAAACCCTTCCAACTTTAACCCTGCTTCTTTCAGAGTCAAAATTAGTGCAATTTAGCTTGCTTGTATACTGCAAGCTCTTGGAGATCCTATTTACATAACACTCCCAAGCACAAACCCCTTTCCCCCTTCCAAGCACCTATGCTTGTCCACGCCCTAAGAGCAATTCATCTTTACTGGATACTAAAGAGGATCCACAGTGAAGTATTAAGGAGGCTTGCTTTGTTAGAATCTATGCTGGTGCCATAGCTGAAAAGGTGAGAGCCTATAGGCAGAAATCTTAGGGTAAGGCAGGGCAGTGCAAAGTATGCTACAGGCATAATCCAGAGGTATGATGTAAAAAGACAGAAAGGATTTTTGTTCATTTTTGCTCAAAATTTCAGATAACCAGTTTCTTCTGAGTTTCTAAGTTCAAATGTTCCATTCTCTAAAGCTCTGTCCAGTGCAGTGAAAAAGCAGAACATGGATGAGTTTGATAATACCATGACGGACCATGACGGAAGCATTTTCTAAGCTAACATGGTTATCAAAATAGGGCTGAGAGGATTGTTAAAGCTCTTCTCCAAGACCCTCCAACAACTCTTCTGCATTCTGCTTTCCTGCTAGTCTTCAGATGCAAAAAAACTGCAAAGTGATTATGCCACAAGACATTATGGCAAAGATTTGATAAGAAAATTGTTTCTTTATTTTGCTAACAACGTAAGCTTGAAAGCATCACAAAATGAGTTGTTTAATGAAATGCCTGGAACACTTCACCCTTTATGTTCTCCTCCAGAAAGACTAAAAATTCAGGTGTACTATCAGTTACTGCAAGTCAAGAAACAAGAGAAAAATTAAAAGGAAAAACTAAAAGGATTAATGTTGACATCAGTTTAAAATGGCTAACAAGGCTTTAAAATGGATTTAGTAATGGCTACAGCATCCAGGAGAAAAACGTGATCTCATACCTCACTTATGACAGAATCACAGAATGCTGCTAGAGATGTTATCCATGATTTGGAGACAGAAGCAGCATGGCAGAAGGATGCTATGTGCTCAGACAATGAATATAAAATAAAGAAGTTTAGAAAATGTATTGGGTGCAATCCTCCCTGCACTTGAATTATACTTGAATAGTTTAGCCCACTATTTACTGCGTTCACTCAAATCTAAGATGACCTTGAATTTAAGACCCCCCCCCGATTCTATACACGGAAACTTTATAAATTTGTTATAATCTTCCATGTATATAATCTAATTATTGAAGGGTCATCTTTAGTTCACACCCTCTTCCACCACTGCTACAGGCGGAAGACAAATAGCTGGGATGGGGGAAATCAAACAGCTTTTCCCCTGCTTGTGCCAGCCCCTGTGCCTGTCCCCCCTTCTCCCTCTGCCTCTCCTCCCCCATACCCTCCCCTTCCCCAGCCTATGCTTTCTCCGTCTTTTTCTCTCCCACCACAGCCTCTTCTCCTCCTTCTTCCCTCTTACTCTTGCTCCATGCTTGCAGGCTCCATCCCCATTCTAGCCTGGGACACGGACCATGGCCCTAGCCCAGCTCCTATAGCTAGGGACCTACAGAAATCACAGCAGAAGTTCACTGCATGGCACTTCGTTTAATCTTGCAGTTTCCCCTCATGGCTCCCTCCCCATGTTAAATGGGACAAAACACCTTGTCTTAGAATCGAGTAAATACAGTACATCTCACCTAGAAAGTATCACCAGTTAAAAGTATGTTGTGGAGTTTCAGAACTTCTTTCATAACCAACCAACTGTGAGGCTGATAGTTGAGAGGAAAAAAAGAGAGACTGGCATGTCTTATCCTGAGAAGCAGCACCACACTAACAGGGTTATGCTGCTTCTGGTACCTGAGCTAGCTCACGTATCTACAAAGCACTGCATTATGCCATGGCATTGGTGATGTGTTGGGTCGGGGGGGGGCATGTGGCTCCCCAGATTTCTGAGTCAATGGCAGGACACAGGCGCAGGCTGCAGCCTGGCTGGAGCCAGAGCCTTGCAGCAGCATTGGCAGCAGCGCAAATTGTGCCGCCCCACTACAGTGGCAGCACGGAGCTGTGCCCCCCTACTGGTAGCACTTATGCATTGCCTATGTGCCATGGAAATAGAAAAACCTCTAGCAGAGCTCTTGGATGTTTACAGGTTTTAGATCATGTCATCTACTGTAGCTCCACTTGATGTAGTATAGTTCAAATAGAATCTAGGTTTCTCTACCCAGCTGCCAATAGCATGCTGAAATCTGAGCTGGCAATGAGGAAGGCGTGTGAACAAAACACACAACCTAGTTCACACAGAGAAAGATTAAACTTGTGAAAACAACTGAAGCTTGTTTCAAAAGAACGTTACACATTATAGGCTGAAGATACAACTGCCACAGTGGAAATGTCCCAGTGGAAATGTAGCTTAATCTGAATTAAAACAAAACAACCCCTGCCTTCCCCAAATGAAAGTGAAAAGTGGTTTAGAACAGCTATGGAACCGTTCTATTACTAACAGCCATAATGCCCAGTTCCAAATACAAGGGTCTCAGAAAAGGAAGTGGCTGAAATAGGGCCACAAAGTTACCCGGATGCTCTTTCCTTTCTTCCAGTACTTAAGCCTATGATTGCAAAGGAGTCTGTGTTGAATTTCTAATGTTTTGAGCAATGAAACCCAGGAATTAAATGCTAGAAGACAAACGGTTGAATTCAAAATGTCGATTTTGAAAAAAACTTTTACATTTATACAGTCACCTCAACATAAACTGAATGTATTTTTAGCATATTTTGATTAGTTTGGGAGGAAATTTGTAAAAGTCTGGGTGCTAAAAAACTGAATTTATTGGGATAAAATATAATAAATTTGTACCTAATGGCAGATATAAGACGGGAAGATCTTAGTAATGAGTAGACTGGGAATACACTTACTATGTTCTTGTGTTTTTCTGTCAGAACTGCAAACTCTTAAAATCACAGATCATATATTTACATAATTGGGTAACAGAGAGAGAGATATGAAGTCAATTGTACAGTTGAGTGTTTGTGTTCCATTTCACAAAACGTGTATAGTTTTTCCTCCCCTGTTTCCTTTTTTCCTAGAATAAACAGAAGTGGGATGTTTGGGGGTTGGGAAAAGTCAAAACATTTTGTTTAGATCAATGTATTATACTGGTGATGCATATGAACAACCAGCTAAGTGAAAATCATCTATATTAGGGAGGCCCAGCAGACTAATAAAGACAGCACAGGTAGGGGCACAGGACATTTATAAACATACTTTTTCGTCCCACGACTCTCTGGAGATCTGGTGGGTTGGAACAGACTCGATTAATCAAGTCTGCTCTGCACGTGAACTGATGCATACTGCGCTGCATTGCATACAGTTGTATAAGTGGCGATACGCACGTCAGCGCACAGAAAATGGTGACAGTGTGCTTTTGAATTAAAACACCTTCAAGGTGTTTTAATTCAAAAGCGTGCTGCTGCCATTTTCTCAGCACTGATGCACATTTTGCCACTTACACAACTGCATGCGCCGCAGTGCTGGACACTTAAAAGCGCCTGGTGCTGCGGCACAAGCAAATGCCCACAAAGCCCAGAGCTTCTGCTTATAGTCCGAAACCTCAGCATACATTTCTTTAATTGTCAGGCTGCAAAATAAGACTTTACATCTGTCCCAGAAGAAAGCCTTATGTCCTGGTATTCTATAGCCATACAATTCCACTGACGCACCTGAAGTCCCTCTGAAGTGGGATAAAAGGTACTAATGCTTTTCCCCCAGGATGTGGCTGTGTGCATCTGTCAGGTTACTGTGCTTTTTCCCCAAGATGATCTGGCCAGGCTATGTGCTCTCACTAGCCACCTACTGGCAGAGGAGCAGCAATGCAACCTGGAAAAGAGACTTGTAAATGACTGTGGCATGCCTAATTTGATCCAAGTCAAATGCTGGGATAAATCAGGACTGCCTCAAACAAGATGTTTATTTACATCCTTAGGCTACAAGTCTCGTAAACAACTTAGTGACCCAAATCACATTTTCAAAAATGCCCTAGGCACTCTGGATATAGATATGCATGTTACAGTGAAGGCATGGACAGAAGTAACCACCAAAATGTTTCTGCTTCCCTGATGCTGGCTGCTCCAGCACTAGGGATCGAATGCTAGGGATCGAACACTGCCACCAAGGCCAGGCTCTTCAGCCCCAGTCCCCTTTACTCCTCATCTCTGGCAATAGAAGGAATACAGAGGTAGAGGGAACTGGGGCTGGAGAGTCAAAAGCCTGTCAGCGTAGAGTTGGGGAGCCCTACCACAGCCCCTCCAGAGACATTCCCCCTTTCCCCCCTTCTCTAATGGCTGCATTTTGAAATACTCTAGAGCCATCACATGGGTCACACACACCCCCCAGCTGAAATATTTCCTTTCTGAAGCATTTCCAAGCGTGTTTCACTTGGAAATGTTTCAAAAGGACTTACTTCTATGCATACCCAGAATTACAAGGGAGTAGGACATAGCATCGGTCAGCTGTGATGTTACCACAGTAACTGTCCATCTGCCTGCTTTTTCCTCCCAGTAAGTGTAATTTGAAGGGACGTTTACCCCTCAGTCAAACAGGGGTATGTCACTGCAGAGGGTAAGGCAGGACAAAAGGACAACTGCCCTGGGGCAACCAACATGCACTAAGTCTCTGCCCCCTTTTAACTCATTCCATTTTTCTCATTCATCCAGACTGTTCAGAGAGTACGTCTTATAGATACAATCCATAGGACTTTGGCCCTTCAGAGTCAGATCTCCAAAAGTACCTAGACTCCTTTTAAAAATACAAGATATGCTTGTTCAATGGCTTTGAAAACGTTACCTTAATTGAGTTTCCTATATACTGCAGCCCTGCATTCTTGTTACTATATATCAAATATGAAAGAATGCAATTTGAATATTGGTCTCCAGATAAGCAATTTAGAGCTGGTTCAGTGCCTGCAGCTTTTTTACATTAGCTTGTGCCCTCAATACACTAGGTATAAGTTATTCTGGAAAGCTAGGGAAACATTTCCAAGTCTGTCCCCGATCTGTGATAATATATCTAAAGTTCTCAACAGACACAAAAATGCTATTCTTTTTCTTCATTTCAACATTCTGAATATGCTTGAGGGGGAAGTCTGGTAAAAACCTAGGAAGATTTAACAATCAAGCAGCCGCTACAAAAAGGACTCGCATTTTACAATGTATTCTGTGCCTGGTGATTTTTTCCTTCCTTGTCAGGCCTTAAGGTCATCCCACCTTCTCCTGTCTTATATGTATTCAGCATGAGACCCAAGGGAAGCAGAGTTAGCTCTAACAAGCAATGTCAAAACTGGGACAGCAAGAAAATGTTTCGGCAGGAACCTATCAAAACAGAGTTCAGCCATAAACAAAACTACCCAGAGAAGAATCAGATCACGCTGTGAGCAAAGCAAGACTGTACTTGCTGAGAATGAAGGAAAAATGGTGGTGTTATTCACTGGGTCCACAATACTCCCCTGCTCTAATGCATCTACGGTGACTTTTTCAGAGATTACTCAAAAGAGTTAGCAATGTTTTAATGATATTCAGAATGGTTCCTTCATCCAACTTTGCTAAAGGAAGAGTCATACTGAAAAGCAAACAAGGCTAAGAGCCATACAGCCTTTGCCTTAAGTCTCCGTCATATAAGATGTTACTAAACACATGATAAAGTAGAAATTAAAAAGAGGAAGCCTAATCATTGCCAGAAAATATCTCGACATTCTCCTGTGAATTTTGAATAAAGGCGGGTCAAGTGCTTCTGAAAACATATTAGCTAGCACTGAATCAGTCAGAAGTCAATTTAAATGTAAAGTTACAGAAGTTAACATTTTATACACACACACACAGATGTTACATTTTGTGGTCACATTTGTCATTATGACTCTGTTTATACATGCACAGACCCCAAACAGACACATTAACATTTCTCAGTATAAAACAAGGGGATTATAGAGAAGTTCAATTCTCCTTTTTTCATCTCCTTCAACTCTTATTTCTTTGTTATGATAAATGTTGTATTCTTCCTATGGCATTTCATAAAAATGTTCCTTCAGTACCGATTTGGCCTTTTCTGCTAAAATGCCATGATATTCATATATTTGTTACCAAATACATTTAATGGATTTTAAACCACTTTATTAAAAGATAATCTCAAAGTAGGAAGAATAAGAAATAAGCTCCCCTAAAAGAATTTGCCATATGCAACTGAAAATGTTGGCCCTCTAGTTTAAAAAAACAACAAACACTGTCTGAGAACCAGAAAGTCCATCCTTTTTTATGGAATCCAGAAGCAAACTTGGATACAAATGCAATCTGCAATAGGGGGAGTTATGCTTTTATTTAAAGGGACATGCTGTATGTCAGAACATTCTGAAACTCCGTTAACCTCTTGGAATAAAAGAAAAAAAAAGTTTCAGGTTCCACAACAGAAGGCCTTAAAAATCCTCATTGCTGTTCAGGACATATTTTCATCATCATTACAGAGTTCAACAGACTCTTCCACAACTTGACTCTTCAGAAGTCTATTAATAAAGTTTCAGCACAGAGGATATCTACACCTTACTATTTATTAATAGACAAAACTTCAACCTCTGAAAACAGTCTCTGGGATCCTGTACAATCTTAGAAACAAACTAAACAAAATCTGGGCACGTTGCCTTGAGGAACTAGGCCACTATTCAGGACTCTTAACGTTTTAAGGCACTTCGGAAAATAGGGGAAAGTTCAGGCTGGTAAGGACATAGGGCTATGGATATCGACTTTCTGAAAGGAACTAATTTGGGGAAGCAAAACAACAAAAGGAGGGAGATGTGTTGGAGCGAGGCTACAGCAGTGATGGCTGAAGGAATATGTGACAGGCATAGAGTTTTGGGGGAGATATCTTTTATTGGCTATTGTTTTATAGGGAGAGAGACTTATTTAACATATTACAAACTACTGGAAGGGCTCTTCTCTTAATCCCTGTATATGGTTGGAAAATTGCAGTGGGTTGTACTGCTGAAGAATAGGTTCTATTTGATGAAGACAACCAACAAGGAGCAGGGCTCTGTTGAAGGGCTGCCTGGGAAAGTGCTGTAGTCACTGACTGCACTGCAGATCAAGATCTTCTGTGAACGACCTGCCTCAGGAACAACAAATTCCTTCCAACAAGCAAGTCTAAAACAAAGTGAATGTGGATGGATCTGGTGCAAAAGGGGGCACTGGGCAGCACAACTGGAACACAAAGAGATTCAGTCATTACTGAAACAAACTAGGTTGGAATATTACTAATGGAGTCCCAGCATACATTAAGAAAGCTGCTCCATGCTGCGAGCCTGGTGCTGAACAGAGGTAGAAATCCCTCCTGGTCACTGTGCAATGGGCTGTCAAATACTTTGCATCTTCATACACTGACTTTTCAAAGCCTTAGTTCAATAATTAACACAAAACGATCAGCATTCACTTAACACATCCAGTTCAAAGCTTTGTACAAACATATTTTCAGGTCAATATCCACTAGATGCACAGATTGTTTCCCTGCCCTTCTCCTGACCATTCCCCCCCAGAAGAAGCAGAAGCACAGAAATCTGAGGCAATCAAGTGATTTCCTTAGATCTACCGAGTCAGATTCAAGCCAAGAATTGGGTGAAGGAGTTCATAGTTCTAGGCCTTAGACCATGCTTCTCTGAGATTTATGAATAGGTAACAACATGTGAAAATATATAGGAAACTGGATTTTACTGCGTAAATAAATGACATCTGGAAAAATTATTACAAATATTCAATTAAAGTGCCACCCCACCTAAAAATTGTTAGCCAGAATAAATGCAGCTTCTTCTCAAACTATCAGGAAACCTGATCAAAAGTTTATTTTTGCATTTAATAAAAAGAAAATTCCAAGTTTTCTATCAAAACAGATGTGCAGATGCCAATGAATAGTCCCCCTGGGCCCAGCAGTTTGATTACCTTCCATGATCTGCCACAGTTTAGCCTTTAATAAATTTCTGTTGCGTATACTGAGGACTTAGAATGGCTGCTTTATGTACAATATTTGACAAGTAAGACAATTTACCATCAGTAGCTTGAAGACTGTATGTCAGCCCCAGAGCCAGATAACCCTTCGCGAGGAACTCTCCAGTATCCTCACCTAGGTCTATCACTATCTTGGCGAAACGTTCTCCTTCCTCCAGCTGTAAGAGAGAAGGTAAAATGAGAAACAAAATTACTTGCATTATCTCCAGAGTAAAAAAGTTAGACAGTGACAAAGACAACTGCAGTCCGTTATAAACTACCAGAGTCCCACCACAGGTTGTTGGACTTTTGGGAATTACACACAGGTTTTATAAGACTTTAAAATAGCAAGTAGACTTTATAATAGCAAGAAGGAGATATAGGCCCAGATTATCAACAGAGCTCCGCAAACACAAGCAAGGCCAAATTTTCAAAATTGCTCCATTCATACTTGAGCAATGGAACAACTAGCCAAATTTTGAAGTGGTTCAATGCATTGGGCGAATGGGAGATTTGTGGGTTTGCAAATGCTTAGAGAAGCAGCATCACTGGCCAACTGAGAAAAGGCATGCTTCAGGACACTACTGAATGGCAGCAGTGGGATCAGTCAGTCATCTGATGCTCTTCTCTGGGTTACTAGGACCAAGGCATCACCCGTACTTGGTAGAGCAGCAGAATCACAGTGGTAGAACACAAACTCCAAATGTACTTAGAGATACTGGAGGTAATGACAGGACACTTTACCTTGTTCTAATATCTGTCTCAGGACAGGCACCATTCATATTTTAAAACAAGAACACTAGGGCTCTTTGCTCTTTATGTACAACCAGACCACTAGGTTGCCTGTGCTTACAAGCATACAGTCTCATATTTACAAACATTTGGCTTTGCTGCTGTGCAGACCACAGGCAAAACAACACTCCTGTTTTAACAAGGAACTCTCCTTCCTTGTTAAAATTAAAGAAAGAACCCTTTCCCGTAGCCTTTGAAGTGATGCCTGGGTTTAGCATACTATGACTGCAAGCAAGCTCCTCCTCCTCAGGACCCAGATTAAGATGCTGCACTGTCACCAAACCTGTGTGAGAGTCATACGTAGTATTATAAGGATCCACTTCTATGAAGTGCTAAGCACCTTTAAATGCTACAGGCTTTAATAGGAATTGAAGGCACGTATGTCCCCTCTTAACCGCCTTTTCCACAAGCTGAACATGCCTAGCTCCTTCAGACTCTCCTTGTATGACTTGCTTTCCAGGCTCTTTATCATCTTTGTTGCTAGCCTCTGGACCCCCTCTAACTTCTCCACATCCTTTTTAAAACGTGAAGCCCAGAACTGCACACAATATTTCAGATGAGGCCTAAGTACTGCTGAGCAGAGAGGCACTATCACCACCTGTGTCTTGCACCTAATGCTTCTATTGATGCAGCCCAAAACCACATTCACCTTTTGTGCAGCTGCAAACTGCAGACTCATATTGAGTCTGTGACCTATCAAGACTCCCAAATCCTTTCCCACAGTGCTGCCATCCAGCCAGGTTTCCCATTTTATTTGTGCTTTCAATTATTCTTCCCACGGTGTAGTACCTTACATTTGTCTGTACTGAACTTCATTCTGTTAGCTCTAGCCCAGCTTTCCAATCTGTCAAGAACCTTCCAAATTGCATTCACATCCTCCAATATGTTCACAATCCTTCCCACTTTTGTCATCTGCAAACTTGCTCAAGAAACTTTCTGTGCTAGCATCCAAATCATTAATAAACATGTTGAACGGCACTGGGCCCAGGACAGACCTCTGTGGGACTCCGCTCAAAACCCCCTGCCTTTCTGACATGGACCCATTACTAATTACCCTTTGCTTGCTGCGATTGAGCCAGTTATCTATCCACCTTAAAGTAGTTTTGTCCACCCTACATTTCGCCAATTTATTTATGATAAGGTCATGTGGGACCTTATCAAAAGCCTTGCTGAAGTCCAGATACACTGTATCCACAGCATTCCCTTCATCTACCCAAGTACTTACTTTGTCAAAGGAGGAAAGAGCAGGTTTGTTTGACACTTTGTTTTCTATAAATCCATGCTGGCTGCTTGTGATCTGCCTTTCCTCCTCCAGATTTTTGCAAAAGGCCTTCCTTAGGACGTTTCAGTAACTTCCCAGTTAGAGATGAGGCTAACTGGTCTCTAGTTCCTCGGGTGCTCCTTGCCCTTTATTATTTTTTTTTAAGTGGCACTACACTGCCCTTTTACAGTTGTCTGGTATGTGGCCTGTCTCACACAGCACCATACAGATCATTTCAAAGGGCTCCGAGATCTCCTCTGCCAATTCCTTCAGTACCCTAGAAGTTCTCCTAGCCCTGCTGACTTGAATTCATTCAGACCCATCAAAAGCTCTCTGACCAACTCTTTTGTTACCTCATCCCTCAGCTCGTCTCTTCCTTAACCAAATAAGGCTTATGTGTCTGGCTGCAGCCTAATTTTTTTGTGAAGACTAAAGCATAGTAGCTGTTAAGTAGCTCTGCCTTTTTTGCATCTTCTGTTAAGAGTTTTCCCTGGCTTGTTAACAGAGGATCCTCAGCTTCCTTGGACCTTCTTTTCTTTTTCTGGACACAGAACCTCTTCTTGTGGTCCTTAACCTGCTTTGTCAGGTGCAGCTTGTTCTTCCTGATTTTGTTCCTGCAAGTTCTTTCTATTTCCTGGTATGCCTCTTTGGTGACCTGCACATTCTTCCATTACCTGTATAATTTCCTTTTGCATTTGAAGCACTTAAGAAGCTCCTTGTGCAGCCACATTAGTTTTTTGCCATTCCTCTTGTGCTTCTACCATGTTGGGAGAGCTTCTTGTTGGACTTCCAATACTGTGCCCTTTAAAAGCTCCCAGCCTTCTATCCAGGAAGAGCACACACCAACTGCTGAAACTTCCTTAGCCTGACGGAGGGTTTTTGAACTCGAAAGCTTGCTTAATAACTATTCTCCAACTATTTGGGTTGGTCTAATAAAAGATATCAAATTCACCCAAGGAACCTTGTCTGCCTATGTCCTTACACCAACACGGCTGCAACCGACACCCCAGCCTTCCTTGGCACCTTTATCCTTCAGTCTGTCTTTCCATGGCACCGTGCATATCAGCTCCTTGCATAGGACAAAATCCACTTTTTTGAAATCTAGCACCCCAATTTTGCTGACCTCATGCTTTCCCCATCTCAGGATCTGGAATTCTATCACATCATGATCACTTCCTCCCAAGTTACCCATCACCTTCACATCCTCCACCAGTTCTTCCCTGTTGGTCAGGACAAAATTCAAGAGAGATGATCCCCTAATTATATCACATCCACTTACTGGAACAGAAAGTTGTCCTCCACACAAGTTGATACCAGCTTGACATTATCTTTGGCTGCATTGTTTTTCCAACAGATGTCTGGAAAATTGAAGTCTCCCATCAGTATCACAGACTTGTTACCTGCTTGAAGAGTGCCTCATCCACCTCCTCTTCCAGATTTGATGGCTCCTCCATTATACTGGTGATGCATTATTCATCTTTCATCTTCATCCAAATATATTCTTCTCCCTGAACCAGGGAGCGTGTGTGTGTGTGTGTGTGTGTGTGTGTGTGTGTGTGTGTGTGTGTGTGTGTGTGTTTTTGATGTACTAGGCAACACCACCACCTTTCTCTCCCAACACTGTCCTTCCAAAACAGAGTGTAATCATCATTGTTGACATTCCAATCATAAGAGCTGTCCTACCAGGTCTCACTGACGCCAATCAGATCATCTATCTTTTCACAGGCTGCAGCTTCCAGCTCATCTTGTTTATTCCCCATACTTCTCGCCTTTGTATACATTTGGAATTGAACCAGTTTAGGGGAAAATATTAAAAGACCTAAATGAAATTACTTTTCTTCCTCCTAGTACTCAGCTTCACAAAATCTCAGCAGCTCAGTTTCTCCTTAATACTCAAATGAGACCCTTTAGGGAAGCAGAGTTTACCAAGAATCTAGCAGCAGACTAGAAATTTCCATTCTGCAGTGATCCTTTAATAGTCTGAACAAAATCTATTTCAGTTAATACAGTATTCTGTCAGGGTGTTTTTTTTTCCACTTGCCTGATTTGAAGACAGTTAACTGTTACATATTAACTTCAAACTATGTAAAGTGTAAACAAAAGAATGAGTATTTATCAGTTCATACAAAACACAAGGAAATCCTTTTTGGAAATGCAAAAAAGTAGTAAAAGCACAAAAGGGAAAAAGCAGTCCTCCTATTGTGCACAGGCAATTTCTTACTTGTAAAGTGCCACTTAGGCTTACCCTGGTAAAAGTGTCTGCTGAATCTGGATAGAGACACTCCCTTTTCCTGTATATTTTAGATCAGGCTTAATAGCAATCACCCTCTCTAAAGGTCTACCCCAAAGCCCAATGACATCAGAAGGGAGACACACAATGGCTACAGCCAGGCTTGAATGAAGCCCTAGAAGGTCCTATAATACTCCTGTATCACCTTAATCCAGAAGAACACTTAAGTGCATGAGTAGTGCATGAGTAGTGCTGATTTCCGTAGGCTGGATCATGTGTTTAAATGTACGCATGCACTTAAGTGCTTTGCTGGACTGCGGCCTGAAGGAATGGAATCAGAAAATAGCACAACACGCATGATGGAAAAAATTATTCTCTCAAGACACAACAATTGCCAGTGGATTAATAAACCCTCTTTCTTCCCTAGAGGGGAGTCACGTTCTTACTTCCTTCTCTTCCCCATGCTTACACACTCTCCTTCATTCCTCCCTTCCATTTTCTTTATTCCTTGCTACTCTAAGATTCACATCTGAACTAACCAAAAAGCAATAAATGCACAAGGACAGTGGGGTGAAACAGAACCCCCCTGTACTGACAGGTGTCTGCTTTATTTGCTTATGCACATTATACATTATAGCTTTTCAAAATGAATTCCCCTATGTGTTTGCAGTTGATCAGTTGACATTAATTTCTTCCTCAAAATTAAAAAAGTTTGGTTTTTTTTAAACTGAACATCTCATTTCAAAAGGAAAAAAGGTGGAAAAATAGGGTTCCTATACCAAACGGATTTATAAAAGACATTCAAACAGATAAGATGCGATACTAAAGTTAAAAAATGCATGAGGACACTATCTGAAAGAAGATCAGTTGGGGTTTTTTATGGGTGCTCTGATGCA